TTGATTTTCTGACTCTAGCTCCTCGCACATTTCATTGTAGTATTTTGCTTTGTCATTCCGAGCTGCCTTTTGGAATCTTCTGTTCAACTCTTTAGCCTATTGTAGTTGACTTATTTCACTTAACATGACTTCAAAACTCCATTCAAGGGGAGCTCTGGTGGCCTAGTGGCAAGGAGCTGCAGCTACAACCCCAGAGGCGCACGGTTTGAATCCACCAGATGCTCTGCCGGGGAAGGAGGGACAATCTCCTCCTGTACCAGTCAGATCTGATTTGACGGTATACGCACACAAAAATTAAAATAAAAAAACAAACAAACAAACAAAAAACACAACTCCATTCAAGTCTCCAAGGAAAGGCTGCAAGGAAGCTGCGGCTGAAGAGATCCAAAGGTTTAGAGTGGATCAAGACTCTGAATAGCACCACGCAGCCAAAACCCTGGGGATCAGCAAAGCCTTGTTACAAGCATGGTATGGATGCTGCAGTCAGGGCAATGGTTCAAGTTGGTATCTTCACAGGATCTTATGTCTTTTTGGTTCAAGAACTGGTGCCACCTAGGAGAGTGTTTCAATGATGCTTCGGCTGGGAGGCATGGTGATTAGACGTGCCCAGTGCAAGGACTTTTGGGAGCGGGGATGACTACAAGGTGCCCAAAACTTGGGATCACCAATCTTGGTGTCAATGGGGGCAACCTCACTGTGGCTGACACCTTCTGTTGTAAGTGGAGTGACTTGTTGAACAGGTAAGATTACGGAAGAGGAAGCTTAGAAGTCCAGCTACCTGAATATTGTTTCATGTGCTCAGTTGACAATGACTTTTGTGGTATTGACATGACTACTGGTGTTGACTCTGCCCTGCCCTGGATCACAGAGATTGCAGATGCCAACACGACCACTGCTCAGAGCCACCAGCGGGCGTTTGTGTAAGAAGTGATGGGCCTGGCACTGTGGGTACCTGGCTCTTGTCACCTTTTTCTTCTGGGGGGTTGACTGGGTTTTTATTCCTGGATGTCCACTGGCTAATGACTTGGAGGGACGCCTTTGTCACCATCTAACAGCACAGTGCAAATTCTTTTTTTGTTATTTTTATCCATTGTTCAGGTCTCAGTTGCATAGCAAATAACTGGAAGACCATAGCCGGAATCGTGAGCACTTTAGTCTTGAAACTGATTACTATTGCTCCTCAATAATTTGCAGAGGTCTCTGACTGCAGATTTTCCAAGTGCAATCTCTCGATGTTAATTGTAGAGGAAAGTAAGAGGAAGTCGTTGACAGTTTCAATTTTTTTCTCCCTCTAGTTGTCTGTGAAGTTTAAATAGCTCTAAATTCCTGTATTTATACAGAATCCTTTAGACTAGGAGCCCCTCCTACTTAACTGAGAAGCAAATGGGTGGTGCCCGGGTTCAATGTGGACCCTTAAGGCCCAATAACCAATGAATGCTTAGGCTCTTTACAGAGGCGCCTAGGACACTCCGCTTATCTCGCAAAGCCCGCAGGCGGGGAGGACGAACATCAGGGCGCTCCAGGCGCACGCCGACCAGGAGCAGTTGTCCCAGCCCCTGCGCGCCCCTGGCCACATGAGGCGGAGCCCGGCCCCTAAGCGGCGCGCGCACCCCTGGGCCTCCCATCCCGTGACTCGGCCGGGACGCGCCACTTCCGACGCCGTCCTCCGTTCAGGTTCCGGGGCGCGGCGGAGCGTCCGGCCGCTCGGTCCCGGGCTACGCTCCTCAGTTTCCGGGGCCACGCGCCCTGCGGTGGCCAGGATGGAGGAGGCCGGAGCGGCGGGGGAGAGCGAACTGGACTTGTCCCGCCTCAGTGTGCCTGCCGAGGCACTGGAGACGGAGCTGGAGGCGCGGGGCGAGGAGCGGCGCGGGCCGCGGGAGGCGCTGCTGCGGCTGCTGCTGCCTCACAACCATCTGGCGTCGCTGCCGCGGGCGCTGGGCAGCGGCTTCCCGCACCTCCAGCTGCTGGACGTGAGCGGCAACGCGCTGACGGCGCTCGGGCCGGAGCTGCTCTCCCTGCGCGGCCTGCGCACGTTGCTGGCCAAGAACAACCGTCTCGGCGGGCCCGGCGCGCTGCCCAAAGGCCTCGGCCAGTCGCCGCTCTGTCGCAGCCTCCAGGTGCTCAACCTCAGCGGCAACTGCTTCCAAGAGCTGCCTCCCTCGCTGCTGGAGCTGCGCGCGCTGCAGACCCTCAGCCTGGGCGGCAACCAGCTGCAGAGCATCCCTGCTGAGATCGAGAACCTGCGGAGGTGGGTGAGACCCTGCGGGGAGTTGGGGAGTGGGCGGGAGCGAGTTAGATCCAGGGTGGAACTCCTAGAACCCAGCGGCGGCGAGCCTGCCGCCGATCACACTCGTCGATCATGTAATGGGATTCTTCGAGGCTCTCTCCTTCACTGGTAATGAGTGCTGCCATCTCTGGAAGGGAGCTGCGGTGAAGATCTCATATATGGCAGCGTTTGGCATCTGTTTGCCCAGTGCAGACGTTGGAGACAGTGTAGGGGAATGATCCAAAATGAATAGGCATTCAACTGTGAATGAGGGTTGATACCTCCTTGTTCAGAAGTCTTTAATGGGTTTTCGTGCCTGTAGATCAATGTCCTCTTACCTTTAGCATTGAATTCCACTCTCCTTTCCAACTGGTAGCACTAACTAAATACGTGCTTAGTGGGTGCAATACGTCTCTGTACGTGTACTGTTTCCTTTGCCTGGAGTGTTACCTGTATCTGTCAAACTATTGTTCACCCGGGTCTCCTGCGGGATATGTGTTTTTTTGGGCAACAGTTATTGCCACAGTTGTATTCCTACAGAGTTGCGTTCATCCCTTATTGCATTTGTCTCATTGGTTATAGTTAATAGTTTACAGTCTGCCTCATCTACTAGTTTATTAAGTAAATACATGTTGGATTAAATGGGAGGAGAAACTGGAGAAGCGTGGTAGTTAACTAATCTCTTAGAGATGCTCTGCTGGGGAGTGAGAAGTAAATGAGAGAAACTTCCTTATATGAAGTGTCTTCTGTCAGGTACTTTCATAGCCTCTCGAATTCTCTTAAACAACAGTGTTAGAACGAGAGAGATAATGAGTTTAGTGTAGTTTAAATTGGCCTATGTGTAGAACTCCGGTACCTCAGTTTTGGGCTATCCTTTTGTCATATTCTTATCAGAATTTACTAAGCTGTAAAAGGAAGCTGTTGGGCAAAATGTGTTTCTTTTATTCATTCAGCAGGTAGTACATTAAGTACTTACTCTGTGTCAGGTGCTGTCTAGTTGTTGTTAGGTGCCGTGGAGTTGAGTATGACTTATAGTGAGCCTATGAACAGCAGATCTGAACCCTCCCCTCTCCTGTTATACCATCTATTAATATGCTTGAACTCATTGCTGCAGTCACTGTGTCCATGCATCTCTTAGAAATCGTCCTCTTTTTTGCTTACCTTCCACATTTCCAAGCACGACATCCCTTTCCAAGGAACAGCCTCTTCTAGCAACATTTCCAAAGTATGAGAGTCAAAGCTTTGCCCTCCTTGCCTCCAAGGAGCAGTTTGTTGGTAATACATTGATGAACAGAATTCCTACTCAGGTAGATAACATAGAGGGCATAGGCATTAAATAACCATTAATCTCACTGTTTGGCTAAAATTGTTATAAATTCATGCAGACTTACAGAAACAAAAATAAAATAGCAGGGGGTTCTTGATTTAGTCTGATCCTTGAGCAAGTGACTTTTGAAGGAATAGGGTAAAGTAACAACGAGAGAAGAGTGGGGGTCAGCTCAGGTGAAGAGAACATGTGAAAACTCAGAGACAAGAAGGAAACAACTGCCACAATTCTGGGAAAAATAATGCAAAAGTCCGTTACACTAGTGCATAGTAAGAAAGCAAACAAGAGGAAGAGCGACAAATACTGATTGAGTCAGGCCCCAGAACATGTCAGACCTGTGAGGCTGTGATAAAGTTTGGATTTTATTTGAAGTGCATATGGGAAAGTTTTCCATACATTTCTCACTTTATGGTGCAGGAGTGGAACAGAGAGGGAGAGGAAAGATATTTTGGAGGAAGATTAGAGGGAAGCCTTTGTAGTGGAGTAAGAGATAATAATTGCTTCTACCAGCATGGTACCAATAGAAGTGATTAGAATTAGAAGGTTGGAGAGTTTGAAAGGTAAAATTAAAAATAATAATAAAAAAAAGAAAGGTAAAATTAACCAGACATGACCCTTTGATTTTTATTTAAGTTCAAGATTATTTGAAGCTTTTTCAATTTACTAAAAAGAACCCAGTGCAAATAATACTTCCATCACATGAAAGACATAAAAGACCAAAAAAAAAATCCTTTTATAGAATACCAACAAGATAGGTTGTTACTTAATTTGCTTTTCAATTCTCCTAGTGACTCTGAGAAGAAAATATTCTCCTTTTCTTCCGTGGAAACAGGCTCAGAGAGATTCCCAAGAACACAAAGCCAATAATCAGTAGCAATGAGTTTAACTTCTGGGGTTTTGAAATCCAAACCCATACACACACTGACAGTGTGCCTTTGTTCCCTTGCATATGTGGTCAGGAAATTTTCTGGCTTAATATCTTTGTTGCCCATGTTCAGTTGTGCTTTTGGCCCCACCAGTATATGGGAACTTTTACATCATTGTTTTCGTTGTTCAATTATGTGCTCCATTTCTCTTCACTGATAACAATCAACACTGACTGAGGCTTTAAACCATGCTCCAAATGTAAACTTGGGTTGTGTATGCTCTGAAAAGGTTATGTAGAAATAAGCTCTTAGGGGTGGAAACAGTCTTGGCAATGATCCTTCTTTTGTCAGATGAGGAATTAAATTGCCTGTCTGTGACTGGCATGAGGTCAGATCGTCTCAACTGGGAGTTACGTGGTTTAACCTCCACTAGTAAATTAATGCATTAAAACTTCAAAAATGTAGAAATGGAGGTTCAGTTGCTTAATCCCCAAAGTACTTGCCAAGAACAAACACAGTCTTATCTTACATAAAGGTTCTCTAGCCTTCCTTGTTGATCCTAATATATCTGGTGTACTATGCTGCTTTTAAAACTAGGGCTAGTGTTTTTGAACCATAGGAAGATATTTACCTCGGTGAGAGCAGTTTAGAAAACATAACTCAGCTGTTGTAGGTGCCATCAAGTCGGCTAGTAACAAGATTCTGTGATTGGAATCCTTCCCTGTTCTACTTCTGCCTCATGATCTCTGACATGCTCAAGCCTGTTATTTACAGTCACTGTGTCAGTGTATCTTGCTGAGGGTGATCTTCTCTTCCGATGTCCTTCCACTTTTCCCAGAATGATGTCTTTTTCTGAGAACTAGCACCTCCTGACCACATGCCCAGACTATTTAAGACCAAGCTTGCTTCTAAAGAGCCCCATGGTTGTAATTCCTCCAAGACAAACTTTCTGTTGTTTGGCAGTCTGTGGGATATTCACTATTCTTTGCCAACACCACAATTCAAAGGCATCAATTTCTGTTTTCTGAAAATAGCCAATTTTCAGATTCATAGGAAGCAATTAAGAATTCCTTGGTTTGGATCAGTTACATCTTAGTCTTTAAACTGACATCATTTATCTGCAGCTTTTTGGAGAGTTCCTTGACAACAGACCTCCCAATGTAACATGTTTTTTGATTTCTTGACTGCTAGTACCACAGGTGTTGATTGTGGGTCCAAGTAAAAGGAAATTGGCAACAACTTCAATTTTTTCCTCTATCATGATGTTCAGTGAAAGAGAGGAAGACCATCAACCAGGTGGATTGATTCAGTGATTGCCACAATACGCTTGAGCAAGACAGATTGTGAGGATGGTGGTCTGATGCTGAGGATTTTTGTTTTCTTGACGTTGGGATGTAATAAATATTGAAGACTATAGTCTGATTCTCTGTAGTTAAGTGTGATTATTCGTATGGACTTCCCCTGATGAACTGCAGAGAAATTAGATTGACTGTATCTGCAGAAAGAATTGATGGAGAAGCTCAACATCAACAGTCAAGACAAGACCAGGGACAAACTATAGAATAGACTATCAATTGTTCGTGTGCAGATTTAAATTGAAATGGAAGAGAATTAAAACAAGAGAAACAAAATACAATCTTGTTTCTATCTCAGCTGAATTTAAAAACAATCTCAAGGACAGACTTGATGCATTGAACACTAATCACTGGAGATCAGATGAGTTGGGGGGGGAGGTGAGGGGAGCAGAGGGAGGGGACAGGAAGCGAAATCAAGGACATCCTCCTTGAAGTAAGCAAAAGGGTATTATAAAGACAGGAAAGAAAGAAAAAAACCAAAGTAGACAGTCAGATGGAACTCTGAAAACTTTCACTAGAATGTAGAGAAGCCAAAACAAAAGGAAGAAATGCTGAAGTTAGAAGTGAATAGAAGATTTCAAAGGGGAACTTGAGAAAACAAAGCCGAATATTATAATGAAATGTGCAAAGAGCTGGAGTTAGAAAACGAAAAGTGAAGAAATACCACACCTGGTATTTTTCAAGCTTAAGAACAGATTCAAGCCTAGAGTTTAAATTCTGAAGGATTCTATGGTCAAAATCTTGAATGATACAGGAAGCATTAAAAGAAGATGGGAAGAATACACAGGATTCACTATACCGAAAAGAATAGGTTTACATGGAACCATTTAAGGAAGCAACGCATGATCAATAACTAATAGTTCAAGCTGCTCTGAAGGCATCGGCAAGAAATAAGACCTCTAAGAATTGATGGAATACCAGGTGACATGTTTGAATAAGTAGATGCAGCCCTGAATATGTTCACTAGTCAATACCAAGAAATTTGAAAGATAGCTGCCTGACCAGCTAACTGGAAGAGATCCGTATTTTTTCCCATTCCAAAAAAAGAAAAGAGATCCAACAGAATATGAAAATTATCAATATCATTCATATCACATGCAAGTAAAGTCTTGGTGAAGTTTATTTAAAAAAAGGAAAAAAAAAATGCACGAAACAGCACATCAGCAGGGAATGAGCAGAAATTAAAGCTGAATTCAGAAGAGGCTATGGTACAAGGGATAGCATTGATAGTGTCAGGTGAATCTTGGCTGAAAGCAGAGAATATTTTTAAGATGTTTATCTGTGATCTGTGTTTTATTGACTATATAAAGGCATTTTGACTATGTGGATCATAACAAATTATGACTAACATTGAGGAGAATGTGTATCCCAGAACCCTTAATTTTTCTCATGTGAAACCTATCATGTATATCAAGATGTTGTCCAGATAGAGCAAAGGAACACAGTGTAGTGTAGTTTCAAATCAGGAAATGAATGTGCCAAGGTTTTATCTTTTCTCCATACCTATTTAGTCTTGACCCTGAACACATTATTCAGGAAGCTGTACTCTGTGAAGAACAGTGTGGCATCAGGATTGGAAGAAGTCTGCTCAACAACCTGTGTTACGCAGAAAGTGGACAAGACATGAAGTCTTGTGCTATAGTTAATATGTTGTTGTGTGCTATAAAGTGGGAATAGACTCATAGCTGCCCCTTCAGCAGGTTTTTAATGTCTATAGATTTCAATGAATGAAATTGCCTGTGTTTCTCCCTCAGGGAAGCTGATGAGTTCAAACCTCTTGCTTTTGGGTTGGCCCCACAACTCTTTACCCACAGGGCCACCAGAGCTCCCTCACAGTTAATAGGTAGTAAGATTTAAATATAAGCTGTTTTCCCCACTTAAACTTGTTATTGTTATTTGCCATTGAGTCACCTGCAACTCATAGTGACCCTGTGTCCTAAACCCTGCTCTATCCTGCGCCAATCTCACTGTCTCTGACCCACCTACCCCTCTTACCAAATTTTTCTCTGGCTCACAACTTCTTCTCTTGTATTACCTTACTTTGAGGCAGTACCAAGAGATGATATTTCTATTTGTGCTTCCACTTTTGAACAGATGATTTGCATAAAATGTAATTTAAAAGTTTGTGATGAGTGATGATATTGAACATGGTTTAGTATGAGAATGCTACTTCAAGACAACACCTTTCTTTATCCACAGATGTTGTTGTTATGTGCCGTCGAGTC